TGATAAGTATATGCAGATGGAGGAGTTGGCGGAGTATCGTAATCAGGCCCGAGCTGAGTCGTCGAGCAAGGTAGAAAAGCAAGCGGAACAGTCATACAGGGGGAGAGGGAAGGAGATATCCTGGTCTTGCGTGTTTGTTCTCCTAGTAATCGCCATAACGTAATCCGATTAATCTTCTAACTCTCCGTTCTGCCCCACGGTGGGCGCCAAGTGTACCTGTCTGATGGGCACACTAAGTCTTCTAGTAGTCCAAAGGCCGAACGAGAACTCCGATCCGATACGCTAGTGAAAGGGTTGGTACCTGCAAAAGGCACTCCAACGCTCAAGTCAGGACAAACACGAATATCTAGGGTAATTAATGAACAATGACGTTACCTTTTGACCTGAGCTATTTATACTGACAATCGTGGGCTCTGGACCTAATGGGCCCTGTAAAAACTTACCGTATTAGGTAATACTTCTTAATCAGCTAATTAACCTTTAATGGTTTATTAAAGATAACTAATAGAGATAAGCCGAACCAGGTGACCGATTGGCAATCGGCCACCTGATTCAGCCCTTCGGCAACCGATAAGAGGGTGGCTAAACGCCCCTACCCGTACAGTAATCAAATTGAGACATGAAAACCAACCTGAAAAACCAAAAATGTAAGAGCAACAACATAAACAACAGTCATTCTATGAACCAAACGCCAAATTGTAGGATGCGGCCTAATAAGAACCTTGAACGAAAACAGGATAAAAAAATTATTCAATTAATAGTTTCGACAAATTTTACTACAACTTCAGCTAAACTAAAATTCATCCTGATTTGCAGAGTAAAGTATATAGAAGATTAAATTAGTGCAAAACTAATAAATTGATAAAAAAAAAAAATAATTGAACAAATATCCCAGTTGTAAGAATAATTCTTTTATTAATTCCCTAGAGCACACATTCATCTTGTTACGATTCTTTTCACTAGCTTACCCTTGCCTGTTTCCATGTGGGTTGGACTACAATGATCATACTGTGTATGGGAGCAGAGCAGGGATAGGCTGGAGAGTAGTACGCTACAGCGGGGTTAAGGTCGCGGATCTCCAAGGTTGCCTTATTGAACCGATCCATGAAAGCTCGAAGCGACTCTTTCTTGTCTTGCCGAAGGCTAACCAGCGACAAAGACGTCAAGCTGTGAGGGCGACTCGTAGCGAACTGAATAGTAAATTGAGACGATAAAGTGTTGAATGAGTCGATGGAATTGGGAGGGAGCCGAGTGAACCAACTTAAGGCCCTGCCCTTGAGGGATGTTGGAAAAATTCGACACAACGCTGAATCATCCGTGGTGCTCAAAGTTACCTGCGTCAAGAAAACATCCAAATGTTCGTCAGGGTCTGTTGTACCATCATATTTGTCAATAGGCAGAGATTTCCAATTGTCCATTAGGGGGAGTTGCATAATAGAGGGGGTGAAAGGATGTCGGTGCGATCCGATAGTTGCCGCATCTGCAGGACGACCAACTGTGGGGAGGGCCGAATGGAATTTTTCAGGTGCTGGTGCCGAAGCATGGGGAACCGAGGTGTGAATTGCCTGGGACTGATAAGATCCTTGAGTTTGAGTGTTTGTCGCTTGAGAGGGTCTCCATGACATGTTATCCTTTTTTAAGGCCTCGTTTTCAGCTTTCAAGGCCGCAAGTTCCCTTGCATCCTTTTCTCGTTGTTGTTTCATGATCTCCATTTCCTGTCTCAACAGCCGAACAGCGTCAGAAAGATTCGTTTTGTCAACAACCTCCACATGTTCTTCATTCTCGTGCTGGTGGTCTTGCGTGTTTGTTCTCCTAGTAATCGCCATAACGTAATCCGATTAATCTTCTAACTCTCCGTTCTGCCCCACGGTGGGCGCCAAGTGTACCTGTCTGATGGGCACACTAAGTCTTCTAGTAGTCCAAAGGCCGAACGAGAACTCCGATCCGATACGCTAGTGAAAGGGTTGGTACCTGCAAAAGGCACTCCAACGCTCAAGTCAGGACAAACACGAATATCTAGGGTAATTAATGAACAATGACGTTACCTTTTGACCTGAGCTATTTATACTGACAATCGTGGGCTCTGGACCTAATGGGCCCTGTAAAAACTTACCGTATTAGGTAATACTTCTTAATACCCGTTCTTCAAGGAGAACGGCCCGTGCTGCAAGGAGAACGGGCCGTTCCAGCGGAACAAAAGGTCAATGCCTAAAAAAGTCTCTTCTTTAATGCATCTGGAACGGCCCGTACTGAAACTAGAACGGACCGTTCCAGATCAAAAAATTACAACAACAAATTTCCAGCAGAACGGGCCGTTCTCTTTGCAGAACGGCCCGTACTGCTTGCACAACAACCCGTTCTGCAAGGAGAACGACCCGTTCTTCAAGGAGAACGGCCCGTGCTTAAGGGAGAACAGCCCGTACTGCAAGGAGAACGGGCCGTTCTAATGTCCGTTCTTCAAGTAGCCTTTTTAAAAACTTGAAACAGTCCGTTCCAGTTTAATTTTTTTTTCCGGGCCGGGACTTTTAAGATCGGTTATAAAACAACCGATCTTAAAAGTTAACTTTTAAAATCGGTTATTTAACCGATTTTAAAAGTCTAACTTTTAAAATCAGTTACGGAACCGATTTTAAAAGTTAAAAATAACCGATTTTAAAAGCCTTTTTTTCACTAGTGCATATTTCACCTTCCAAGATTTATGGGACACGATAGAAGAATGATTTTCTACTCCAGAAGACACCCCATCCCTTACTGCGGCTCAAAAAAAGGAGTTGAAAGAGAACAAACAAAAGAATTCAAAGGCACTATTTATTTTGCAACAAGCTGTGACCGACACAATTTTTCCAAGAATAATGGGTGCAACAACAGCCAAAGAAGCATGGAGTACGCTGCAGGAGGAGTTCGAAGGAAGTGAAAAGGTACGTGCCGTAAAATTATAAACTCTACGACGTAACTTTGAATTGTTAAATATGAAGGAATCTGAGACCGTAAAGGACTACTATTCTAAGATAAAAGAAATAGTTAATCAAATAAGAGCGTACGGGGAAAATATTCTTGATAAGAAAATTGTGGAGAAACTTCTAATTAGTATTCCCCGTAAGTATGATCCAATTGTGAGAGAAAATGAGAGGGGTTGTTTGTAAATTTACGTCGGACTATGGGGTTTCCGACGTAAATTTACGTCGGACTAGAGGTGGTCCGACGTAAATTTACGTCGCACTATGAGACTGCGACGTTAATTCCCACATTTACGTCGGACTAGGGGGGGTCCGGCGTAAATTAGTCTCCACTTAATTACGAAACTGCCACCGCGTTTTTACAACGTCGGTGTTTACTGTTTCCGACGTAAATTGGGTGACGTAAATACCCTTTTTTGCACTAGTGTGAGCACCATCATCCTTCTTTTTCACCAACAACGTTAGTGCACCCCACGGAGATACACTTAACTTGACCATTTATTTTTCAAAGCTCCTCAACTTGCTTCTTCAATTTAACCAACTTAGTTGGAGATGTCCAATATGGAGCTATTAACATTGACCCTACATCTGAAACCAAGTCAATACTAAACTTTACTTCTATATTAGGAGGAAACTCCGACACTTCATCTAAAAATACTTTAAGAAAATCTCTGACCACCTCAATTGCACTAATTAATTTTTGAGTCTCAACACTCAAAGTAGATAAGATAATGAAACATTGGGGTCCCTCCCTCAAAAGATCATCCACTTGTTTATCAGTTATCAGTCCTTCATTTTCAATCTTTAGGAAAATCAACTCTTTTATGACACAATGTATAAGGATATGATTGGCAGACAACTAATCTATCCCCAAAATTATATCCAACTCAACCAAAGGAAAAAAAAAATTAGGTTCACCCTATAACAACAACCATATACTTCTATTGGACACCTCAAACAAACGTCAGAAATCACCACAAAAGTAGAAGTTAGAGTAGACAAACACATGAAAATCAACATGCAAAGCACTAACACTCAAACCTAGTCTTTTCACTCAAGCAATAGATACAAATGAATGGGTAGCTCCTAAATAAAAAAGGACAGAAACATCCTTACTAGCAATTTTCTCCTTCCTCTTCACTAAGTCAAAAGAAGTGAAAGCCTCAACTCCTATCAAAACAAACACTCAACCAATAGTATTGAACACTTGAGCTTTAGAGAACTTCTTATTAGCTTCTCTCAAGAATTTCTTAAAACATGAACTTATAAGATTCATGTCTTAAGAAAAATCTTATATGTTTTTTCTTAAGCTGAACTAACTTAATTGTAACTCAATTATTTACGGTCAATTTAACACTCAAAAGTTCCTTAACCTTCAAAGTTCTAAAACATTAACACTAATAATTAATCATATAATTAAATTAAAACATCTAAAACACATTGTCTCACAATATAAATCTAGAATAATGATATTTAGTATTTTAATTGAATGCTAGTCGGGTTCTTTGATTGTAAAGGTAATCATTAAAAAATATTATAAAAATAAGTATATAATACTCTTGTTTTTGTGCAACAAAAAGTATAAGAAAAATAAAATAAAATCCTGTCTTAAAAAATATCATTATCTTCGTAATAAATATTATAAAAAAAATGTGTTGAAAATAGAAAGAAAAAATATACATGAATATCATTATGACTAGATTCTCAAATAAAAATATCAATCTCAATGTCAAATTACCATGAAAAAATAAACATTAAAAAAAAGTTAGGGAAGCAACCTATAATGGATCAAATAGAGACACCTGAATTAGAGAGACGTTACGTTATATACACTCGAGACAGAAGATTAATTTTCCGATGCATACATTATGTTTCATCATGGTTGCTAAGTCCCTTGCGGGCCCCACATGAAGCACGCCAGAAACGGACCAGGATCATTTACAGTCTCAAAAGAATCAGCACAAGGTGCAGTTTTAAATCAAACCGTTAAATTTGATAAATTTAATCTCAAATTTTAGTATATGATGAAACAAATAAACTTGTTAACGGGCCAGATTCGTGCAGTCTCATCCATAACCGCAGAGGATCAAAATCCGCCGGAAACCAAATTAGCGTCTTACCTAAGTGTGTCATCAACTCACCGAGCAAAGCCAAAAAAAAAAAAAAATTAATATCACCACTACTTGGCACTTTTATTATAAGTTCATCACTCAGTAGTAGCATCGTGACACAGATCAACCATGGCGGTGATTTCCGTCGTGTCATGGTTTTTGTTCATTTTTCTATCAGCCCAGAGTGGTTTATGTTCAGTTCCGAGGGACATTTTCGTTCTGGCGGGACAGAGCAACATGGCTGGACGAGGTGGCGTTGTCGGGGGGAAATGGGACGGCAATGTCCCTCCGGAGTGCAGGCCCGGCCCGCGTATTCTGAGGCTAAGTGCGGGCCTGAAGTGGGAGGAGGCCCGGGAGCCTCTGCATGCGGACATCGACGTGGCGAAGACATGTGGCGTTGGGCCCGGGATGGCTTTCGCGAAGGAGGTTGCGAAGGGTGGTGGTGGGCCTGGGTGGGTGGGCCTTGTCCCTTGCGCCGTGGGTGGGACCAAGATTGGAGAGTGGAGTCGAGGGTCGAGGTTGTACAATGAGTTGGTGCAACGCGCGGTGAGCGCAATTGGGGATGGTGGTGCACTCAGAGCGCTTGTTTGGTACCAAGGGGAGAGTGACACGGTGAGAGAAGAAGATGCTGAGGCTTATAAGGGTAGAATGGAGAGGCTTATTATGGACCTTCGCTCAGATCTTCACCTTCCCTCTCTACTTGTTATACAGGTATTTTATCTTCACCTTCTTTCGTTAATTGCATAATCCTTAGATTCAATTAGTTTCTTTGTTTTCTTAGAGAATTTAAAGGGAAAAAAAATATAAACAAAACCAAAGCAATCAAATGATCGCTTTAGAATTACTTAAGTTATCAACTAATCAAATTTATAAAATGTAAATCTATAATTTAAAATACTAAAATTAAATTTAATTAATTTCGATCGAATCCAATTAAAAAATCAAATCAATTTAATTGATTGATTTTACACCATCAGTTTTATTGGATTATCTGAATGGATGATCATCCATGCGAGTGTGCGAGTGCGACAAATGTTTTGATGTATCTTGTGTGCTCTTAAATTCAATTTGAAGATTCATGTAAGAAAAAGTCATATTAAAAAAGATTTATTGAATAGTGATTTTCGCCTTTTGTGAACTAACCTAATTTCTTAGAAAGCAGACAAACGGTGCACAGCTGTATTCGAATTTCAAACGAGCCCGATGATCTATTTGAATAAACATTTTAAAAAAAAAAGGATAAAAAGAGAGTTTTAAGTCATAAATTATAAAAATAAGAATTTTAAAAAATTAACAAAAAAAAAACTCTACAAATTAGTTTGTCTATAAATTTATTTTATTTTATGGAGTAGTTAATTTTATTTTAAAATTATAATGATAATAATAATAATAATAATATTTAAATTTAAAATTATATGCATACTATCATAATCTTTTATGGTTAAATCGATCATAATAATTCAAACATAAATTCTAATTTTAAAAACATAAAAATATCAAAAGAAATATTTATGACAGTTCATATTTGATTTGCCAATTATCATGACAACCAACCAGTACAGTAAATGGGCCACAGCCCCCAACTTGCAGGAACTTATTATTTTTTATAATCCGTACAAACTTTATATATGGACCCAAAAAATCAATACCAGTTTGTTTCATTGTGTAATGTATTAAAGCTGACAAAATATGATATAACAATAAAACTGGTACCAAATAGCATAAGAAACAGTGGCTAATTAATCTTTTATCGTATTTCTTCCTATATTTAATGCACAAATTGAAAAACTGTGATTTGACATGGTCACTAATGAAGGAGATTAAAATGAAAAAATTGTGGGTATGTAAACTATTGTTACTCAGGTTGCACTTGCATCAGGGGAAGGGAAATTTATAGAGAAGGTGAGGCTTGCTCAAATGGGAATAACATTGCCTAACGTAAAGTGTGTAGATGCTAAGGGACTGAGTCTGAATCCAGATAAACTTCACCTCACCACCATGTCTCAGGTTCATTTGGGTATTCGATTAGCACGTGCCTATCTCGCTTCAACCAATCACCATTACCAATTCAATTGTAACATGAAGAATCATACGCAAGTTTTAGCTAGCTGAGACTGCATTTCTGTATTGTATATTTGGCAACTCGTGAAGAAAGCGTGGCACCTCTTGAAAGCTACATTATGAGGAGGCTTCGGGGGTTTCTGATTTCTGTAATTAATTGTCTCTTTTGGATTACTACATGGCTTATAGACTTTACTATGAACGTATGAACAAATAGTGTAACATCCCTCTTATATCATGCCTTACCAATTCCATTTTATGATATTTTATACAGTGATATTTTACTCGATTCTTCATTGATCATCTTTACTTGATCTATTAGGTGTGCAAGAGATATGATAAGAGAGGAATTGTAGGTAAATGAATAAAAAAGTGCTTTAGTGGTAAAACTCTCATATCATGGATTGAAACAATTTCAAAGTAATATTAAAGTTTTTTTTCCAGACTTTAACATATTTCTATTTTTTATTTTTATTTTTTGGTTTTGCACACGTTTCTTTTCTTTTTTCTTTTTAGAATTGGATAGTAAATGTGAACACATCTTTCAGTGAAATTTGATATTTGAATTTGCCACATTGTGGGAAGTAACCACTTCAAAATACTTTTTTCTCAATATTTCTATTTTCTTTCAACTCCAATATTCTTCTACTAGGAAGATTCAAGTTGGAAGAGGATACTCATTTAATAAATGTCTATTAAATTTCAAAAAAGATTCTCTTCGAATTCGACAAAGAATACTCATTTGATAATGAAAAGAAAAAAGAAAAAAAAAACAATATGGGGACAATGTTTTGTTTTTGATTCTTATAAAATGAAAATGACCTTGGAAGGCATAGTAGCCCACTTTGTGTTGGACCGTGCAACGAGTTGCTATTTATGTAATTTGGACATTAGCAATTTGTTGGAATAATCATAGCTCAGCAAGGCTTGGACCATATATAAAACCTCTGCTTCACATAATTATGAAAAACAGCGTGTTCTGGAACCCAGTCAGCAATTCTGAGGCCATATAAATAAGGATAATATTTTTTGTATTTTGCGGTCGTATTTCGAGTTTCATATTGTTTTTCAGTCATGTTGTATCTATAATTTAAAACACATAAACAACGTCAAAAATTTACACAGAATAAATGTGACACCTTTAAATAAAAACTTAATCATTACCCAATTTGTATGCTATCTGGGACGATGTTGATATTTTTTTAAATGAAGTAAGTTACGACCATTCTAAATAGCAGAAATCCGGAGTAAATAGTAAATACCCTTTTCAATGTTTGAATTAGGCAAATATTATCATATTAATTCTAAAAATTAAGAAATTAACGAATAAGTTTCTAAAAGTACACATTAACATTTAACTATCATATTAGTTCAACACTTGAAAAAGATTGTGTGATTAAAGTAATAATAATAATAATATATTCAAAAATTAGAATAACAATAAGTAGTTAAATTTACTAATTTTTATTAAATGATAATCACACCCTCCACAAATCATAATGAATAAGAAGGTACTCAGAGTTTGTCTGGGCGTATGTGGTATGATATATGTGACTCTGTGTATCACATTTTATTTTTACTTGTGTTTCCTGTGAAGTAGCCTGATTTTCTAAACTAGGCAGAGCAAGACACAATCCATCAAGGATAATAATGTGAGTGCCTTAGATTTGACAAGAAACTGAGGTATCTCCAACATTTGGTGGAGATGCTGTTCCCACAAATAATTTTCAATCTGTGAATGATACCTCTCAGCCACCAATTAGGGATAAGCCAACTACAAGCTACAACCACTGCATCAACATAAGTGTCATTGCAAGTTTTTGGGAGGATAAACAATTTCCTGTGCACAATTTCTTCCTCTAAAGGCCTCAAATTTGCTAGTGACCCTCATTATTTATTTTAATTTTGATTTTAGTACCTTACTATAAAATAACAAACACTGATGATATGTTAGGAACCCAAAGAATAATACATAGGCTTAAACCAATAATTTTATTTAGTCATACTTAATAAACTATCATGTAATCACTAACCCGTTGTCTGTTTGAGAAATAAAGCGGAAGAAAATAGGGAGGAGATAAGATAAAAATATTATACATCCACATTTTATATAAGGAAATAAATATAAAATAAGTTATTTTTGCATACCCATAAAAGAAAAAAAAATCCCTCTCAAATTGGAATGAAATGGGAGGAAAATAATTTATCTTTTTTTTTTTCTTTCTGTTTTTATAAAAATAATATTTTTTAAATAAACAATTTTATCTTAAAAATATATATTGTTAAAAACTTATATTTTTAACTATTATAAATATATTTTATATATAGAGCGTGCAAACATTTGAGAATTTTATAAGTTCTTTTAACTAACTAATAAATTACTTTGATCAAGATAAAAATTTTTTATTATGAGAGTATATTTTAAGAGTTTATGGTCAATTTGTTTAAACTAAAAAATAAAGTGATTATAAAAAAAAATTTAAAAAGTAATTCTTTAAGTTGATAGAATTTAATTATTAAAAAAGTAAATGTTTATTTTAAAAATAAGCAGCTTATATAAACGCATAAGTATAAAACTGCTTATTTTATTAAAATAAGTCTTTTCTTTATATAAAATTTATATAAATGAGTCCTATAGTTTATTTTTATAAGTTAATTAAAGTAACTTATAATTTATATCAGGCTTTTAGTTTTTTCTTTATTTTTATGTTTGTTAATTTACTTAAAATTCTTTTGTTACCTTTTTTAGTTTAGAATATTTTTTTGTCTATCTATCAGTCCCTTTCTCTTATTATGAAAATCATTTTATATTTATAAAATAATTTTATAATACACTTTCAACTTAATCAACTAACTTATAAGAGCATCCACAAGCATCTTAAGAATTGTTTAAGTTTAAACAATTGTATCTTAACTCATTTTAGCATTAGAGGCAATCTATTTCGCAGTGTGGGTTGCTTAATTTTAAGGAATGCTTGTTATAATTAACGTTGAAAATAAGTCGAGTCGAGTTTGATACGAATTTTTCTTTTAATTTAAACTTAATTTTTATTAGTAGCTTGATTCAGCTCATTTGCTCAAATTACATGAATTAAGAGTCAAATTTTTTTAATCTTATACATTTCAAAAATTAAATTCAATAATAATTTTACATAAAATGATTGTTTTCAAGTATTTTTAAAGACAAAACATAATTTATTCTAGGTTATAAGGTTTGACTCCAAAAAAGCATTATTACAACTAAAGTCTATCTAAATGAAAACAACTCCACTTTATATAAAATAAAATAAAAAATCAATATCTAACCATAAAATTGTAAAATGTCCACTTATTTTATATATTATTATTAACTTATAACTAAACTTTAAAATTTTTCAAAATTTAATAAGCTAAAATTAAATAGAAAGTTAATATAAATTATATATTTTATATCAAACTAATTCATGAATCAAACAAGTCAAACTATATACAATTCAAGTTTAGTTCATTTATTTATCAAGTTCATAAATCAAGTTCAATGAGTTAATCATCAAATTAAGTTTCGAACTATTTTTGAGTTGGTTCAATTTATTGTCATTCCTACTAATAATAAAAAATTATTTTCAAAGCATCAACCAAATTCATGCAAATCAATTACAAATATAAAAATATAAAATATGAGTATCCTATGAATTGTTTAAAATTTTACAATTGGAGTAAAAGTGCACTGAGTTGCTTAAATGTGACGTGACAATGTGAAACTTAATAAAATAAAATAAGATACATATTAAGTCATCATCATTGTGGATATATTAAATTTACAACCTTTCAACTCTTAGAGAGTGTTTAATACATGAAAAAAAAAATTTCTTTTTCGAGAATCTGTTGTTAGGAATGTTGGTTTCTCATATTTAGGTTGTTATTTAAAAAAAAATATCCATGAAAAATATTGTTTTTGAGAAATGGTTATTACATAGGTTTTGCACAAAATTGTTCCTATGAGAGGTGAGAAACTAACATTTCCGAGTTAAAATAAAATTGTAATACAGTAAAAATGTCATATTACCTTTATTTTACTTATTTAATACAACAAAATTATTGATTTTCAAATAACATTTATAAACATTTCTAGAAGCATTTGTTATCAACCAAATCCTCATCATTCTCAAAAATCATAATTCCTAGGATTTATGATTCTTATGAATCATGATAATCATGATTCTCAAGGAAGAAAAAATTTGTCATGTAACAAATGCCTCCTTGATTAGCTTATAAATTTGTAACAAACTTGTAAATGATTTTACCAAACACACTCATAATTCATATGAGTTAATCACCTATACACTGTCATGTCACTGTTAAAAGTAAATGTGTTTACAATGACATGACACAATTAAGAGATATAATTGGTTGCTAGTGTAAAAAAACTTTACACTGACAATGTATAGATGATTAACTCTTCATATATTTATGTTATCTCTCTTTTCATTCATCCAAACAAACAGAAAGAAAGTTATTCATTTTCTTATTTCTTATTTATATACATTCAAATAACGTAACATTTTCATTTTAATTTTGTTCTATTTATGTTATTTTTACTTCATTATTTTTTTATTTCTTTATTTTTCTATTTCACTTCTCATCCAAATAAAACACAAGAAATCTCTGTAAAAAAAAGTGTCCAACAAATAAGAACGAATTTGTTTATATCTAAAAAGAATTAATTTTGAATGTTTAATTATTTTTGTTAGTTATGCTGACAAGTTTTATCTTTATTTTAAGACAATATAAACAAATATTTATAAGGTTGTTACATATTATCTATCAAATAAGTATAATGATACATATCCAATGTAACAACTTATATAACACCACATTTAATTTATATATATATATATATATATATATATATATATATATATATAT